AGACGGCCCAAGAGGCCTCCAAGAAGGCCCCAAGACGGCCCAAGAGCCCCCCAAGACGACCCAAGAGGCGACCAAGACGGCCCAAGAGGGCCCCCAAAGGGACACAAGAGAGGGAACACGAACCGAAAAATCGAGCCTTCCGCCCCAAGAGGCCCCAGGGAGGCCCCCACATGCCCCGAGGAGACCCCAAGAGGGCCGCAAGAGGCCCCAAGAGGCCCAAAAGAGGCCCCGCAACGGCCCCCAAAGATGCCCCTAAACTGCCTCCAAGAGGCCTCCCACGAGATCCCAACGAACATCCAATAGGCTTGGCGGGGTGGGCCGACGGACGGCCATTAGGTAAGAATGCGCCGGTCCGACGTGTAAGTTTCAAAAAGCGCGGGCTCGAGCATCGCTCAAGCTCCCCTCTGCAGGGCTCGGCGGCAGCTGATGGGAGCCTCCCGTGCCGTCCTTTTTCTCTACCATCTTCAGCGCCGAACGCAAGTTAACGTACGAAACCCAGAGCACCCTGAAGAAACACAGGCTGCCTCTTGTCATGCGGCGCGACTGCCCTGCACAACGAGGGAGGCGGCAGGGCCCCGGCTGCGCCATTTTTGGGGCAGGCCCTGGGGCCCTCCCGTGCGGCCAGCTGCGCCGCGCACACCGCGGCTCGCCGCAGCTCGCGTGCGCCACGACGGCACACAGTCGGGGCGTTGACCTAAGGAGCCCTAAATGAGGAACGGGGCCCCTTTTTGCCCCAACAAGTTAAACTTCGATGCCCGATCGAAAACACAGGGGAAGCCCGAGGCAAGCTGTGAACCACTTCAGGAACGCGGAGGCCCTCCCCCAACCAAAAAAGGGCTCCTCCTTCAGGGCCCCGACTGCTGCTCGCGCCTCGAGCCTCGATCCTCGCCCGGCCCCGGCAGCAGATGGCGGCAGGGAAGCGGGGCGCGCGGCGGCGGCGGCGAGGGCGCTGACCCACGCCACGGCACTGCCTCGAGGAGGCCCGAGCAGGCATCGGCGGTGGACAGACCGCCCTTTAGCAAACCTCCCTGTGGTGAAAGCGGCCTGGGGCCAAGACCGACGGACCTGGACCCGCAAAACTGACGGCCGCGGCGCCCTCTCGCGAACCGAAGACGGCCAATTCCTTCATGGACGTGTCAGGGTGGGAGGTCTGTCCACCCCCGAAAACATCGGGGGACCACGCTCCTTCGAAGGGTGGCCGCGCGGAAAAGCGCGCATTTAGCAGCACGTGTTGCTGCAACGCGCCGCGAGCCACAGCGAGATTCCACCACCCGCTACGTCTGGCGGGAGCCTCCCATCACCACCCCCGCCCGCGCGAACTCCAGCCGGGGCAGACGATCCCCTGGCCATCGAAGGTCAACCGGCAAACAGCGTTCGGCAGGCTTGCACCGCCGCGGCAGGCAAGCCTCTTCCTCGCCGACCGCAGCCGCCACCGGCGCTGCCGCGCCCCCCGCTGCCAGCCCACAGGTACCAAGCAGCCTCCCTCCCCTCCTCCCGCTGCACCCTCCGACCCTCCGAGGCGGACGGGGACGCAGCAGAGGGCCATGCAGTGGGCGGGGGCGATAGCCGACGCAGTGGCCGAGGCAGTGGTCCCGCTCCTGTTGTTGGACGCACAGCTGAGACTGCCAGGCAGAGGAGGGGCATGAGAGCTCAATCCCGCGGCAGCTGCGGAACTGGTGCCGCATCTTGAGACAGCGGGAACAAAAAGCATCCTGATGTGGCCTCCCACCCAACGCCCACTCCCCAAGCCCTGACAAGACAGGTCGCAAAAAGGGAAGTACTCGACGCGGAGATCCCCAGATGTGCATATCACAATGATGGCAAACGTCGGCAGAAGACATTGTCCTGTTCAGCATCCGAGTGTCAGCGAATCCACGTGGAAAACGAGGTCGAGAGAGACGCCGACGACTACGACGACTTTAAGTAGTTGCGTCCTCTTTCCGTCCTCCTCCTCCTCCTCATCCTGCTCCTTCTCCTCCTCTTTCTCCTCCTTTCCTTATAAGTACCTGTCAGGAGAATCCATCCGTGAAGATGACGGAAACGGACCCGTGCAATACCCCCTGGCGCTCCCTTTGGGAGTGCTGAAACCAGCGCCTCTCCTGAGACATCCTCGGAAACTGCTCCAGAGAGAGGGATGTTGAGCACCCAAACACGCAAACCGCCTTAGACATCCCCCCAGTCTGGGCGCAAACGGGCCAATGCAATACCCCCTGGCGCCCCCCCTTGGAAGTGCTGAAACCAGCGCATCGCCTGAGACATCCTCGGAAACTGCTCCGAAAGAGAAGGATGTTGGGCACCCAGACAGGCAAACCATCTGAGACATCCCCCCAATCTCGGCGCGAACGGGCCTGTGATATACCCCCTGGCGCCCCCCATTGGGAGTACTGAAACCCACGCCTCGCCTGGGACATTTTCGGAAACTGTTCCGAAAGAGAAAGGCGCCGAGCACCCAAACCCCCAGCCTGGGCGCGAAAGGGCATCTGATATACCCCCTGGCGCCTCCCCTTGGGAGTACTGAAACCAGCGCCTCGCATGAGACATCCTCGGAAACTGTTCCGAAAGAAAAGGATGTTGGGCACCCAAACAGGCAAACCGCCTGAAACATCCCCCCAATATGGGCGCGAATGGGCCTGCGATACACCCCCTACCGCCCCCCCTTTTTGGAATACTGAAACCAGCACCTCGCCTGAAACATCCTCGGAAACTGCTCCGAAAGAACAGGGCACCCAAACAGGCAAACCGCCTGAGACATCCCCAAATCTGGGCGCGAACGGGCCCGTGATATACCCCCTCGCGCCCCACCTTGGAAATCCGCCGACCCTGTCGGCGTGTGTGAGGGGCTTCTCCGTTCGACTCGCCGTCGTCTCCGTTTTCCCCCTCCCAGGGCTCTCCTCCTCAAGCGCGCTATCCAAAGCGAAATTAAAGGACGTCGTAGTGGAGTCGAAGGGAAGACCCTTCCCTTTGATCCCTTCCCCACAGGGGGGGGGGGGGAAGGGGGGGGAGAGGGGGGGGGGCGGGCAGATACGACGCCCGCTGGGGCGCACTTTCCTCGAGCGGGCACGCACGGGATACACTTCCTCCTCCTCCTGGTCCTCCTCCTCCTTTTCTCCTCCTCCTCTTCCTCCTCCTCCCTCCTCCTCCTCATCCTCCTCTCCTCCTCCTCCTCCTCCTCCTCCTCCTCCTCCTCCTCCTCCTCTCCTCCTCCTCCTCCTCCTTTCCTCCTCCTCCTCTCCTCCTCCTCCTCCTCCTCCTCCTCCTCCTCCCCCTCCTCCTCCTCCTCCTCCTCCCGCAGAGGCGTCCCGGGAGCGGGCCCCGAGTCAAAATACCACCCCCGTAGGGCGCATTTTCCTCTAGCGGGCACGCCCGAGATGCACTTCTTCCTCTTCGGGGAGCACGTCCCAAGTCAGAAGATCACACTCCCGCGGCGCACTTTCTTCGAGCGGGCACACAAAGGATAAACTTCCTCCTCCTCCTCCTCCCCCCCCTCCTCCTCCTCCTCCTCCTCCTCCTCCTCCGCCTCCTTCTCCTCTCCTCCTCCTCCTCCTCCTCCTCCTCCTCCTCCTCCTCCTCCTCCTCCTCCTCCTCCTCCTCATCCTCCGCTTCCTCCCCCCACTCCTAGCCCTTTCGATCAGGATCGGCGGCACCGGCCGTCAGGCCTCTCCAATACTGAAACCAGCGCCTCGCCTGAGACATCCTCGGAAACTGCTCCGAAAGAGAAGGATGTTGGGCACCCAAACAGACAAACAGCCTCAGACATCCCCCCAGCCTGAGCGCGAAAGGGCATCTGATATATCCCCTGGCGCCCCCCCTTGGGAGTACTGAAACCAGCGCCTCGCCTGAGACATCCTCGGAAACTGTTCCGAAAGAGAAGAATGTTGGGCACCCAAACAGGCAAACCGCCTGAGACGCCCCCCTAATCTGGGCACGAACGGGCCTGTGAAATACCCCCTGGCGCCCCCCTTGGTAGTACTGAAACCGGCGCCTCGCCTGAGACATCCTCACAACGCGTGTTCGAGCGCAGAAGTACCAGGAGTGTGAGTGAGTCTGCATGTGAGTGACCCCGAGCATGAGAAACCGGAGTATCAAGAATCTAAGAGCGAACGCATCTTAGTATGAGTGAGTCTGAATATGAGTGACTCTACATGAGAGTGAGTCGGATAATGATGACCTGAGGGTGGGAGGTGCGCGTGTTCTCGTTATCAGCGCTGTCAAAATAATAACAAGAACCCCATCCTTTGGATATGGGGAAGAAACTCCCGCTGCGACAGACTATGTTCAATGAAGACATTCAACAGCCAACCTTGCGCGCGGCATCCTTGAGCCCAAAATCTGGAGGTCTGGGTATGGGCCTGCGGTTTCGCAACCAAAACCCCTCGAACGACGCCGCGAGGGCCTCCCGCGACTCATCCGCCGTGCCGACGCTGCAGAGAAGGAGCCAACCACTCCTCGGAATATACGCAACGCGGCCTGCACCGTGTCGGTCGGAAGCCGCGACCGAGGCCGCGATCTAGCCAACCAAATGCGATGGACCACCGTGGCGGACAGCGTCTGGGCCTAGGGCAGACCAGGTGGGTGAGGCCATGGCCTCTAGGATCTGAGGTGTCTGGATCCATGCAATGCGAGACATCTAAAAAGTCAGGAGGAGAGGGGGGGGCACGCTGGAAGGGGTCGCCTCCTCGACGGCTGGCGCAGAGCTGTTGGCGCAAAGGGGCCTGCAGAGCAGGGTCCCCGCGGCCATGATTAATCAGCATCCTCCTGTCCTCCTCCTCCTCCTCCTCCTCCTCCTCCTCCTCCTCCTCCTCCTCCTCCTCCTCCTCCTCCTCCTCCTCCTCCTCCTCCTCCTCCTCCTCCTCCTCCTCCTCCTCCGTCCTCCTCCTCCTCCTCCTCCTCCTCCTCCTCCTCCTCCCTCCTCCTCCTCCTCCTCCTCCTCCTCCTCCTCCTCCTCCTCCTCCTCCTCCTCCTCCTCCTCCTCCTCCTCCTCCTCCTGCCGCCCTCTTCTCGCCCCTGCCCCCTGCAGCACGTGGCGGCAGGCCCAAAGGGCCGCGCCACAGCGGCGACCGGCGCGGTGGCCCACGCCTCGGCGCTGCCCTCGCGGGCGCCTGCGTGGACGAATCCCGCACCGCGAGTCGCGCGCGCATCGCGAGGAGGAGGAGGAGGAGGAGGAGGAGGAGGAGGAGGAGGAGGAGGAGGAGGAGGAGGAGGAGGGGGAGGAGTCATCCCCGCCCAGCCAGCCGCCGAGCGAGGTCGGCAGGGGCAGACAGCCTGCCGCACAGGAGGCGTGCGCCAGAAGAGAGCACCAGAAATGGGAGGCCAGGCCGAGCTTAAACGATTTCCGGCCAAGCAGTAAGTCAAGCAGGAGAACGAGGAGGAGCATGACGAGGATGGACGCCTTTATAGATACAGGAAAGGAGGACGGGGGAAGGCGATGACGTCCTCAGAGCCTCACGACGCCCTCACGTGGCTCGTCGGCAAGTGCGCGCCTCAACATCTTCTTCACGTGCCTCTGGTGCTTCTTGCGCTGCGTCTGGTACTGGCACTGCGCCGTGCTGCGTGGTTGCGACTGCTGCGGCGACCCCAGGGCAGACGGGCTGGAGCAAAGGAGGGCGTCCACAAGGGCTGGAGCAGACGTGGAGCGTGAAAGCCGTTGCTGCCGCAAGCGCGCCTCGACGTCGTCCACGACGTGAAGGAACGTCGCCTTGCACTCGACTGTGTAGCCGTGCCGTGGCTGCCTTTCGTCCGAAGAGGCGGCGGAGGAAACGCACGAAACGCTTGACGCAGAGGGAGCCATAAGTGGAACAGATCGACCTGACCCCGAGACGCTCCTAATCGAGTGCCGCTCGACTGATATCAACAGACAGAAAGTCTTTGAGCCAAGCCAGCTTGAGCCCAAATGGCTACGGCGGAGCCTCCCATACCATCTTGTCGGCTCTTGCGAATCGATGCTAATCGACGCAAGTCGACGCTAATCGACGTTAAATCGACGCAAACCGATGCCAAATCGGCGCTATCTGACCGACTCCCAGACACTCATCGACGCCAGTCGACGCTAAAGAGGGTATTACGAAGATATACCAGGCTCCCATGATTTTCGGGTCGGGCGAAAGGGGGGGATAGCAAAGGGGGGGGGGAGAGTCAGCTCACGTAGCTGATTTTCCCGGCGCCTCCCGGCGCCGGAAGGCGCCCATGTATCGAGGAATGGGCCCGGCGGCGAGGCCGAAACCAGCTGCATGCAGCAGATTTCGTAACCCCCCCTTTCCCTGTCCCCCCCTTTCGTTCGGCCCGAGACTTGCTACGGAGAGCGTGGGCTCCAACTTCGCTTGAGCAACCCCTCT